GACTTTTCTTCTTTATTTTCACATTTTGCGGTTTCACTTTAATTTGAGGTGAACAAAGATTTCGGACATTCATAAATTATGAATTCATGTCTGCACATTCACTTTGGAACCATGCTTACACATTCCCGTCCGAAATCACGGACATTCATAAATTATGAATCCATGGCTGCACATTCACTTTGGAACCATGCCTACACATTCACTTTGGAACCATGAGATTATGAATTTTCTGTTATGAGATTATGAATTTTCAGTTGTGAAATTATGAATTTTCTGTTATGCGATTATGAATTTTCTGTTATGAGATTATGAATTTTCATAAAATTCATAATCTCATAACAGAAAATTCATAATTTGAGCAAACGTGCGCCGTTAACTCCACATCCGCAATTTTTTTTTTTTTGGCCTAAAAACAACGTCGTTTTGCCTTGTGTTCACCATTCTCGGTGAACACAATTCCATGGCATAATTTGCGGTACGGATGCACAGCATAACGATTGACAAGCAAGCCACTAGACTTGGGCTTTGGAGTTTAGGCAACTACTTGGGCCAAATATGTTAAATTAATCTATGGGATTGGGTCAAATTATTGGTCCACAACAATTCTTTGCGAACCATAACAAAAAATATATTTTTAATATACTAAAAATATATTATTCGTGTACTGAATATTTATTATACAAAATAATGTATTTTTAGTACTTAAATAATATATTTCCCTGAAATTGGACCTTGGTCCTAAATTGTATATTTTTAGCATTGGAATTATAAATTTTTATAATATAAATTGTGTTTTTAAGTTTTGAGAATTTGTGAATACAATACAGGGTCATCACAAATTATGAATTTTTAAAATGGACATTATGAACATTTAGTATGTAAAGTATCTTTGGACCCGAGTTCACCTTGCAAGGTGGACCCAGATACACTTTATAATTTGCCAGGTTTACTTGACTCAATCATTATAGTTGTGTGATCCATAAATAAAAAGTATATTATTTGTGTACATAAAGTATATTATTTGAAAATACATTATTTGAGTACTGAAAATACATTATTTTCTATACTATTCAATTATGTACATTCAGTACACAATTAATGTACTTTTAATATATCAAAAATGTGCATCATATTCAGGGAAAATACATTATTTGAATACTGAAAGTACATGATTTTGTATAATGTATAGAGTTTATCGCAATTATGGTCCACGACTATAGTGGCACTATCAAGATTGATCCACGAGTTTCAAACATTGCAATCTCAGTCCACGACTATTTTTTTTTGCAAAAATGATCCTTCCGACCCATTTTCCGTCAATTTCTCACCGGAATAAGAACCATTTCCGGCAAAAGAAGGACAGAAAATTGACGAAAAATAGGCCAGAAGGACCATTTTTGTAAAAAAAAAAAAAAAAAAAAAAAAAAAAAACAATAGTCATTGACCAAGATTGCAATGTTTGAAAGTCGTGGATCAAACCTGATAGTGCTACTATAGTTGTGAGACCAAAAGTGCGATAAATTATAATGTATATTTAGTACACAAGTAATGTACTTTTAGTATATTAAAAATGGTACATACAATAATTTGCCAACTTGACTAGTCTAGTATATAGTATATTAATATTTCATCAACCTAATCAAATGATCGAGAGTCATGTTATGCTACAAAACATTATTTTAACTAAAATTTTGAGTGAAATTACTCGATCAATTATTTCAATTTTAAGCAAGCTAAGCATAAAAATGCAAGGTTTTTCTAGATTAAATTACACGAAAGAGGAGTTTTAATCAAGATGGTTAGGTAGCATTAGGAGGAAACTAAAGTAGTGTGTACAGATTAATCTTTCTTTTTAAAAAATTTGCATACTAATATATGTATATAGTTTGCAGTTTTATCTGATTGGGCACGTTTTGGTCATGGACAAAGAAATATAAGAGAAAAGTTATTAGTTGGTAAAGACACATTTGAGTAGATAGAAAATCTTCATAATATTGTTGATGTTGATGAACCAACAATTTCTTGTTCAAATGTTTGACAAAAAAAATCTTTAAATTAGTTGCTTGATTGAAATGTAGAGTAAATTCAAAGAGATCTAGACTATTTAATTTATACAAAGGAGTACATCTCCCAAAAGGAAGAATCCTCAATTCTAAGGGCTTCCACACCCCAGGCTGACAGAGTATTTGGGAGGATGTAAATCACAGTGGCTCAATAGTTTAGCAGACAATATCCAATGACGGTGCGTATAAGGGATCTATTCACTTTAGACATAATTTTCACACTGTCGCTGCTGAGGTTTGAACCTTGATCTCTTCTTACAAAGGTTATTCATGTGATTATATATTAAAACAGAAAAACTTGTTTAGTACATTAAATATTCTTTTTGACGTCAAATTATCACTATTGGATTCTATGTGAATAACCAATGCTTATCTTCCATCTTTAAGTGACAATTAATAATATATGGACATATTTGGTGGGCAAACTTTTTGTGATAATAATATGAAAAATTACAAGGTTTCAATTAGTATTGATATTGATTATTGGATTAGGTAAATCAAAAGTATATGCAAAAAACTTTAGGGGTTGTACCAGCGTAATGAGAAAAATTGACCCACAATGTCCATATGGTAAAGCATATTATATAAAATTATTCAATATATAATATAATTATCAGTTTAGACTTTTAATTAGTTGAGACGGCGAAATATATTCTTTAATTTGATATCAAAGTCAAAACCATACGAAAAGTTGTGTTACCTATGGCCAATAAAAAAGCAATTAGCTTGTACATGTTAGAGGTGTGCTAATAAGTATTATATATATATATATATATATATATATATATATAATACAACTATCAATTTAAAATTTTAATTAACACAGAATATATTTTTCAATTCTTATTGCACTAGTACAATCTCAAGGTATTTTGGTTTGTCCCTGTGCTAATCGCCACAGTAAACTTTCTAATAATAATAATAACAATAATAATAATATCAAGACTATGTGGTCTAATGGTACCCGGATTGGACCTTCTATTTGAAAAGTTGTGACTTCAAGCCTCAATGGAGGCGTTATTGGTTTTTTGTGTTTCAGTAGGTTGAGAAAGTATATGAACAGATACTACATTGTAATAGAGCCAGCATTAAAAAAAAAAAAAACAATAATAATACATGAGACTGTATGTTAAGCATAATATATAAAAAAATAATAAATGTATAATTCAACTATCATTTTAAAATTTTAGTGGAAATATAACACATCTTTTAATCCCCTCTGCAGTGATATAAGTCATAACCCCTCAATTTTTTAGGTTGTACCTAATATCCAATGTTAATCGACACAGTAGATTTTATAATTATGATGATGCATGGGGGTGTTTCACTTTGTTTAATTTTAGTACTGTTGCCCATTTCTTTATTCTTTGATGACTAGCTTTGTATTGTTTGATTTTTATTTATTTTTTAATAAAAGAGTTCATCGTTTAGAGAAAAAAAAATCATAAGTTAATAGAATAAATAACAAAATATATTATGAAACACTTGGTAATTACTAATTAGGAGGTCTCCAGCTCATGCATATGGTGTAATTATTATTATTATTATTATTATTATTATTATTATTATTATTATTATTATTATTAATATTTTGACAACCCCATGGTGTAATTAATTAAATGTTCACCAATTGCAAATTAAACATGTATATTAATGCAACTAGGTATTAACAAAAGAATAAACATGTCAAACTTGAAATTGTGTGTAAAGCATGGACAAACTAAAAAATTAGAAATTTATTATAATATTCTCTCCCCGGGAAACACCAAACCCTCCGTGTATATATTTAAATGTAATGTAATGTAAATATTGTATTGTGAATTTTTAGGATTGCAAATGATAATACATCAAAAATTAAGTAGTAATAAAAGCGTAATAACTTGCCTTGTTTAATAACATAGTTAGCTTATCATTTAATTTTAACTTGTTTGACCACTATTAGTTGTTTGACTTGGTTAAACATTCAATATAAGTGTTTGATTAATTAGTTTTTTTTTTTTTTTTTTTGTAATAATTTATTGTTCAAAAATGCTAAAATTTAAAAAACTGCTCAAAATAGTTTCTTTATAAGCTTTTTGAGAAATCCATTTTACTTGTAATCAGCTATTATTTACCAAATATCTTTATACAATAAGCTAATGTTATCAACTAATCAAACTCACTAACTCAATCAGCTAACAGATAACATCTATTTACCAAACACCCCCTTTATCTCTTTATACTTGCATTGCATTCGATGTCACATTTATGTTAGACTTAGCCCTATATCCCCTCTCCCAAGCCTCAGCACTCACTAGCTAGCTACCCATGACCTACCTTAATATCAATTATCAAAATCAAGCATTTATTATTATGTCAAAAGTTATAGCTAGTAACAAAACGTATTGTTACTTTATTTCATTATATTTGCATTAGTGTTGAAAAAATCTCACCTATGCACCGATTAATCGGCCTAGTAGGCCTAGGCAGCGCCATGGCGACCGCCTAGTTGCTGGCCGGCTAGGCAGTCGCCTTGGCGCTGCCTAGGCCTACTAGGCGCCGACTAGGCATCTACTAGGCCACCTAGGCACCAACTAGTTACCTAGTCGGCTAATTAGCTATTATTCCATTCTTTTTAAAATGAGTTATTTTACTCAAAACGACATTATTTTGAACGAAATAACATTAAATTATTAAAACACTATATGTTTTTTATGTTAATATTTAATATTTTAGTATTAACTATTTCATGAACTTGCATTACATATACACATCGACAAATTCGATCAAATTCACCTTGTAAGGTGAATTTTTTTATCATTGCTAAACTTTATAAGTCAAAAATTTAAAAACTCTCTAAACCAAACAAATTCTTTCTTGGACAAAATTATTGAGACAACCTTAATTTTTCAAAAAAAAAAAAAAATTTGGTGGGGGCGGGCGTTTAATATTAGTATATATTGGAGTAAATTCTTTTTTTGGGGTGCTATATGTTGGAGTAAATTCTGAACTAACTTGCATATATATATATATTCTTAGTGATGAATACATCATATATGTTGAGTCTGGATCAAACAACAGAAATAGTTCCTCCAAGAGTAAGCTCTAGATCTGGTGAAGGTGGTGGTGATGGGCTTTGATGAACACCAATATTCATATTAGAACTCAAACTTGATGCTGAAATAATATTAGAATATTGACTTGATTTTGAGTCTTGTCTAGGTGATGATAATGCAATTGCAGATGATGTAGCAGTGCTGCTGAAATCTATAATGGAAGAACTTGTTGATTTTGCCATTTTCCCACATAAAACCCTACACTCATCAGCCTTCCATGCCTGCACGTTCAATCACTACTTAGTTTCAACATGGTTTAAATTATAAGTTTCAACCTTGACAGTACTGTTATATGAAACTCCTTTTTACAACGTTATGCTCTTAAATGAAAAAAGAAAAGTTATATTTAAACATAATTGTAGTCAAATTTCATTAGAAAAGTAAGTTTCTTGTTGGTAAAACTTATTTTATATCTTATTGTGAGAAGTAGAATGATTATGGAAAGAAAGTTTCCCTTCAATCTCAAAGTATGACTTCGAACAAACTTCCAATTAAAAAAATACATAATTTCTTGTTGGTAAAGTTTATTTTATATCTTATTGTTTATTTTAACTAAAAATAAACTATAAGCTCTGTTTGATAAAACCTAGAAGCTTAAAATAATATCTTATATTGAAATTAAACATAACTTCAAGTAATGTTTATTAGCATTTAATATTTTTTTTGCTTATTTGTATCCTTATTAATTTACAAAAATGACACAATATTTATCCTTGTTTAATTAAAACCTTTGATATCTAAATATTTTCTAAACATTCTTTTGTTCTCCAATTCTTCACCACCATATATATATATATATATATATATATATATATATATATATATATATATATATATATATATACTTTAAATTGCAATATACATCAATATTTAAATTTATAAAAATGTCTGTTTATGTTTTTCACACTTATTATCTTATTTAACAAATTATTATACCAAACACTTTAATTTTAATTAGTTACACTAATGGAAATTATTGAATTTCCGACCACCTGAAAGTGATCTTAAATCAAGTCGAAAGCAAAAAGTGGTCGGAAATAGCAACAAAGGTTTTTCCGGATACCAAAAGTGGTCGGAAAAAGACTTTCGACTTAATTTAAGGTGACTTTCAGGTGGTCGGAAATTCCATAATTTCCAGTAGTGTTAGTTAATTAGCTACTTAGCTTTTCAACTTCGGCTATTAACTTTTTAATTTTCAACTAATTTATAAGATAAGTATATCAAACGGAGCGTATAACCATCAAGACACTTAAAAAGAATTTTGAATTAAAAAGATACATAACCGGTAAGACGTACTTAAAAAAAATTGAATTAAAAATTGAGTACCTAGCATACAAAGGTCACTAACCATTTTCAATTTTATGTGAACTAAATATTATGGTTACTCTAAAAAAAAAAAAATAAAGTATTGTAAAATGTTGATGACATACCAAATCGAAGAGGCTGCGTCTTCTCTTCGTGGAGTGGAGGCTATTGTGACGAAGAAAATACTTCTGGGCGTGGCTGGCGATTTGGGTGGGAGTTCTTGTCGTCACAAAATGTCTGGAAATGCCTCTCCAGTCACCTCTCCCAAGTTTCTCTAGACCAACTAGGAATATCCGATGTTCCTCCTCACTCCATGGAACTCCTAATAAACAATCCAATTTCCCTTTTATTTCCTTCATTTTTGTCATGATTATTATTATTCTAGCTTTTCTAATGCAAAGCCAATTCATACAATCATCACCAAAATCGTCACAAAAACCAACAAGCTAGTCTTATTTTTTATTTTTTTATACATGCCTACATGCATTGAACTGCTTTTTCCACGGATATAAACTAATATGTTATTCCATCTAAAAAGACATATATATATATATATATATATATATATATATATATATATAGTACATAAATATTATAAAAACTTTTACAACATTTTGAAACATGATGCTTTATTACCAAAAAAAAAAAAAGAGCAAATGAATAAATAAAACTAAATTACTAAAATATTTTTTTTTTACTAATGACTATTACAATGTATTATTTATCATGCATATTTTCTCAACCTAATAAAGCAAAAATAGTCAATGCCCCACTGAGGTAGTCTTGCTCAATTATAGTAAAGTAATCTATAGATTATAGTAATTTCACCACTTTAATTCTCAATTTCTATTTTCATACAATAATACTGTTACATATCAAATTTATATATATTTTAGTCATAAATATAGTATTTCTTTCCAACTGTTACCTATTTTAGTTTTTCGAATAACTTGAATGAAATTTTAAGCCAACAATCAAAATGACTAAATCACTAACTGTAATTGAATTATTCAAATAAAAAACATCAAATTCATCGTATTCTCTCATATATAATCTTTTTTTTTTTTAAGTGTTCCTCAACAGAGAATGGTTGTTTGATCTTCCTTGTTCTTTAATATCTAGATAATTTTCTCCATTATTTGATCCAAAATAAATAAATAACATCAAATAGGGTAGTGAGTTTCTTGTCTGGATTAAATTCACTCCATATAAGTACGTACGTATGAAAATGATAAATATATTTTAAAAACAAAAAACAAACAAGCAAACAAACATGAATTGGAGCTTGGTTAATTGAAAAAAAAAAAAAAAAAAAAAAAAGATGGAAAGATTGAAGGGAAAAATTACTAAAAACAATTTCTCTTACCCCTTTTCTTTTCCGGCAAGTTGCCGCAGACGAGGCCGTCGGAGATATACCCACAGCCGGGCACCTTACCGTCAAAATTTTCGTCGAATAAAAACCCAGAAGATCCAAAGGAGCTGTCTGCGAATGAATAGGAAGCTGCGGGAAGGCAGTCGTCGCTAAAGCTCTTTTTCATGACAAAAGAATACGATGACGACGATGAATAATTCTGATGAGATCCAATAAGTTTCACCCCAAAGAGCTTCATGGAGCCACCATGGCTACTTGTTCTTTGCTCATTATTGTTGTTACATGTCCTGGAATTGTGGCCTGTCTTCCCACAACTGGAGCACTTCCTAGTCATTCTTATTTCTTAGCTTCACGGACCAATTGCCTAATTCAAGAAGATGAGAGAGAGAGAGAGAGAGAGAGAGAGAGATGGAATTGAAGTATATATTGTTTGCAAGTGTATTGTATATAATAATAGCAGTTGTAATAGAAAATGGACAGATTCTTTTATAACCATGAAGTAAAATATAGAAAATGAAGTTACATTCTAGAAACTATCCTTTCATTGGATATCCCCCAACTAAGGTTTGTTGCTTGTCAAGTTTATGTCACACCAGGAAACCAGCCAATTCAAGTTCATTAAATAATTAACTTGATTTTTAGAAAAAATGTCAAATAAACTAGTAAATTTTTTTGATTTTTTGCAATTAGATAACTGGATTTAAAAGGTGTGTAATTGAACCATCAAACAAACAAAATATGTACAATTGAGACATATTTTTTGATTTTTCCCAGTAAAATCTTATCATATTATTTACATGGGATGCACTAAAAGTTGTTTTTTCCTCTATATCATACTAGTTGGGAGTAAAGATCAAAATGTTTGTAATTCAAATAGCATTACAAGATACCATAAAAATGTTCCAATTGCACATATGTTTGCTTGTTTGATAGTTCGATTGCATACTTTTTAAGTTCAATGATCTAATTGTACAAAAGTGATAACTATAGTGACTTATTTGACACTCTTTTCTTAATTTTATATGTTAAAACAGTCTATTGATTTTTTTGATATAAACTGATTAGTTATGAACAATCTACTAATTTCATTTTGTGTTAGGTCATAAGTCGAACTTCACTCAGTACATATTTTCAAGTAATGACTGTGAACTTTTTTGTAAATTAAAGTTTATGTCACACCATGAAGGAAATGACACATATTATGCAAAAGCAAAGTGAACTACACTTGAAGTAAATGGGTATATATGGTACGTGGCTTAGGTACATATCACTTTATAAGTATTTATTGCATTTACAATAGTAAAGATCAGAGTTGTTAAAACCAATACTTTTGACTTACAAAAGAGTCCTTTGGACCTAGGTGTATCTACCTTATATGTCAGGATTTTATTTGGATTTCAATAATTTCTTTTGTAATGTTGAAATGATAAGTTTTTTTTTTTTTTTTTTTTTTTAAATATATATTTGTCGTTTTACTAATCTGTCAATTACAACATTACATCTGTATAAATTGAATGGTAAATTTCGTCTCAACTAAAAAATTAATCTGGTAATTGGATTCTTAATATCCTTTTGTTTTTTTTGTCCCCGTGGAGTGCACACCTACTATCAAGTGTACAACATGTTAAACATGGAATAAATTAAATGATCATGGATATATGATTTTTTGTATATTCAATGATTGATTAGGTTAATTAATTCGAAGTGTGCAACATTATTGGAGTATATAATTGCCTACAAGCCTTTTATAGGATAAACAAACAATTACCTTTTGCAATTTGCAAATTAAATGGTCTGCCCTCCTCACATCAATGCAACGTGGTCTTAGCTCCTTCCTCTCTCAAATACTACTTACTGAATTAATGAGCTAAATTCGTGCAGGCCACATACACTACTGGACATTATGAAATTTCCGACCACCTGGAAGTGATCTTAAATCAAGTTGATACCAAAAAGTGGTCGGAAATAGCAACAAAGGTTTTTCCGGATACCAAAAGTGATCGGAACAAGACTTTTGACTTGATTTAAGATCACTTTCAAGTGGTCGAAAATTTCATAATTTCCAGTAGTGATAAACCTAGTCTGACTTTACCATGTCTCAACTTGGGGTTGTTTGATTTAAAGATTGCATGTATAAGAAGGAAATTGGTTTTCCCAAGTACTTAGATAACTTAAATTTGTTTGAAATGTGATGGATTTTTGGAACCGGGTCCACCATAAATTGGGTGTAAAATAGTACTTATTAGTTTAAGAAAATTAAATGATTAATAAACCTTCTAAGTGTTAGTATTATTATTGTTATTCATATTATTATTCTTTATACTATAGTCTATAAGCTTGTGGTGTTAGAATAAGTCTGAGTCTCTTAACCTATTAGTTAGAAGTGTTTAGTGGTTTAGTTTGATATAGTATCTTGTAACCTATTCAGTCGTTGTAACCGATTCAATCTATCTCACTCATCTGGTATCAACCTAATCGATCCTTTCTCTCTCTCTCTCTCTCTCTCTCTCTCTCTCTCTCTCTCTAACCTCACCGTCCCTCCATGCAAAACAGCCACACCCTCACCGCAAAATACCAACGACATGTCGTCCAACTCGTCGGAAAGAACCATCTCTGCCGCCGGTGGCTCTTCCCCGAGCGGCTATAACCCCCTTGCCGGAGCTCATCACTTCATCTCGATGAAGCTCACGTCGCGAAATTTCCTGTTTTGGCATACCCAGTTCATCCCGTTCCTGCGCGGCCAAGATCTCATCGGCTTCGTCGACGGAAGCACACCATGCCCGGCTTCTACGGTGACTGCTGCTCCTCCGGTGCCACCACCGCGGAGCCTATCCCCAATCCAGCGCACAAGGCATGGGTGCAACAGGATCAGTCGATCCTCTCCCTCTTGATCTCCTCGATGTCCGATAAAGTTCTCCATCTCGCAGTTGGTCGGAACACCGCCGCGGAGGTATGGCAATCCATTTGCACGGCTTTAGGGTCCAACACTCAGACGAGATGCCTCAATCTGCTTGGACAGTTCCAAGCACTCCGGCAAGGAAACGTAACACCCCACTTTTCTTAAACTTAATTACAGTTCTAAAACCAAAATCAAGATAAACTAAGCAGCGGATAAATAATCTTAAATAACAAACTAGTGAGAATGTCACCGCTACAACCACATCTCCATGGTGATAGCACAGGCTAAGGATGGAACTAAATCATTAAGTCAAACTAACATTTAAATTACTTAATTTAAAGTCATAAGGGGAAAAACACCCCGGTGTCTATCACCAAACATAAACATCATAAGACTACAATCCATCATCAAAACATCATAATAATAAAACGAGTTTAGACTACTAGATCTACTAAGCTAGCTAACTCGATCATCTCTCAAACGCTGGCCCACTTGAAAGGGGTTTTGCAAAACAACACGTAGACAAGTAGGAAAACACTCGTTAGCACGAAGCTAAGTATAACCACACTCAACCCTGTAAAGTACTACGGTATATACTTTGGAAAAACATTTTATCACAAACTCTAATCAGGCAATCTCAACACTTAGACAACTTTAAGATACATCACAGACTTTCTATATGCTTGCAACCTATAATATCAACAGGCATGCTTCAACGGTAAATAACTCATCAACATAATCATTCCAACACACATTTCTCATAACAAGACTTATCATAACGAACTCATGCTATCAATCAATACGAAATTATCTTCAGGCTTTCAAGTTCTCATCTTGCAAACTACATATATAAGACATCAAAATGCAACTAAAGCAATCATGCTCAATATACATTCTCGGTTAATCATTCTCATTATGCAATCTAGTGCAAACATTCTCATTATGCAGTCTCGTGCAACATTCTCATTATGCAATCTCGTGTAATACTAAACTCAAATGCAATCTCGTGCAAACATTCTCATTATGCAATCCCGTGCAATACTATACTCAAATGCAATCTCGTGCAAACATTCTCATTATGCAATCTTATGCAATACTATAAGTATACTTATACACTCGTTTGTAAAATAGAATACTTTTCTGTGGAGGTCTCTTAGAGCCACAAGGACTCGCTTGCTTTCTTTTCTTAGAGTCGCAATGACTCGCTTTCTTTCTTTCTTTTCTTAGAGTCGCAATGACTCGCTTTCTTAGAGTCGCAATGATTCGCTTGCTTTCTTTACTAATGGATGAGGTAGGAACTTCACCGTAGCGTGAACGAACCTATCCCGGTACGGCCTCTAGCCAACCTATGCTCATCTCATCCACCGAACCACTCTCTTGGTTCTAAACTCAAATCTGTGGAATCAAGTATCGAACTTTTAGCGTGCACACCCCCTGACCAGGATTCCAAGCCTGGCGGGCAGTTTCCAACCTCGTAACGTGGGAATACGCCGCGTTACATATACTGGATCGCAATGTCCATTTCTTTCTTCCGAGAGGACGTAGTCCAAACGGGTCCTCCAAAACAAGGTTTTCCTCACCATAGATATATATAGATATATCGTTCATGCATCTCATATATGCAACACTTAACTTATGCAAAAGACATGCACATACTTCTCAATTCATTCTCAAAGGCAAGATAAAGATATTCTTCATGGAAATGCGATTTTTGGAAAATAATACTTAGGCTCACGTTGGTCATTTATGCACTTTTAAAACATGGTATACTTGGAATGCAATATACTGTACAACATGCTTCAAATATATCTATTACAGTGATTTCTCAAGAACACACAATCATGTTTGGTTTGCAACAAGACATACTCTGTACATTTCTACCATCAAAATAGGCTTCAAATTCCATTGAACATACAACACATTCTAGTCATGCTTTTCTAACAACTCTTATTTACAAAGTGTTTATGCTTATCTATTCAATAAAAAAATAGCATCAGGAGGATAAAACAAAGCAATTCCCAAAGGCAGTGAACTCAAACAACACTACTGTGAAGCATTTCATCACAAATTTTACCATAACATGCTCATTTCTAATCCGAATTCAACAAAATCAAAGCCAAAACGTGCATCAAGACGACCCCGAGGTACCGAGCCACAAGGGCCCATGATACCTGGTCCGAAATGACACATAGCTGAGCCACAAGGGCCCGGCCACTGCACAGGAGCAACTCACGGTCCAAGGGGCGGGGCTCAACAAGGCCCGCCCCCTCAAGCCGCTAGCTTGCCGGGTCTAGGCAACAGCCCTCTCCTAGGGCCGTTCCCTAGGCCCGGCTGGCCACGGCTCTAGCCAACGGTCCCCTTGTTGGGCCGTTGGCTAGGGCCGTTGCCTTATCTGGTACACACTGCCTGTGCACCAGATGATCTCTTTTCATATGTAAATCAACCTCAGACAAATCCAACACCTCTAAAACATTAACAACACATCATAGACAAGTAATAGATCACTTTATAGCTCAAACACATCAAAAACCT